CTTGGGCGTGAACACCACAGTGTTCTTGCACTTGTGAGGACTCTTCTATCAAGTAAAGTTCCAACCTTCCTCTGAATTTTGGATCTAATTTGACATGGTTCAAATCCCAAAATCAATTTTAAGGAGAAAAAATAGTTCTTCCATGTGATTATGCTATTCTCTTGTTCTATTCTTGGGTTCCTGAACCCTAGTTTGGAAATTTTTTGAACAGAAAAATGCAACCTTTTACTTGCCACAACTTTCAAGAAAAGTTGTTAATAAACAGAATAAAGTATTTATAACCACCCATGAAGGTAAACGGTATGGCTCACACACATTAGAGTGAACAATATGAAAAAGAATTGTAGATCTTTTATTACTTGTAACATAAGAATTTCTACAATGCTTTGACAACTCRTATAACTCACAATGTAGACATAACAACTTAGTTTCTTTAAACAAAGTTGGAAAAAAGACTCAATGAAGAAAAAGAAAAATGGCCCAATTGATAATGGCATAACATAATACGATTGATCGGCTCTGACACACTAGAATCAAAGGTTGCTCTTTGAGGTGATACTTGACTTTGTTTAGGCATATCCAACAAGTATATCCCATTCGCCTCATGGCCACTCCCACTCACCTTCCAAGATTTCATGTCCTGAAAAATATAGTAAGAAGGGAAAAAGGTTACACTGCAATTCAAGGATTTTGTCAAATTACTAACTGAAAGCAAGTTAGCATTAAGCTTAGGAACATGAAGAACTGAAGATAAGACGAGGGTATTTGACGCTCTTATGTTTCCCTTACCAAAGATAGGAGCAAGAGAGCCATCAACAAGGGAGATCTTGTCTCATCCATCCAGATAAAAGTTGGTAAGTAGAAAATAAATGAAATACACTAGTCATATGGTCAAAGGCACAAAAGTCGATTATCCAAGGGATCTTACGATTACCTAAGATAGAAACATGATTTGTAGTGGCACGAATACCTGAATGAGTATAAGTAGAGAAGAACCATTTCTTGAGGAGGTAGTAGCTATAGTGGTAGATTCTAAGTGGATGATGAGTCRAACATACTTGCCATACTCTGCTCTGGCGACTGCAAGTTGTTCCCCCACTGATTTTTCAACACTAGAACCTTTCTCAACCTCAAAAGATGTGGCTACATTGGTATTGCCACCTTTTCCACTCCCATTCTTCTTCCCACTATTATTGTTCTTGAATCTAAGAGGTATAAGCTCTAGATGTAGCTTCCAACAAGTATCCTTCATGTGCTTAGGTTTCTTACAATACTCACTCACCACATCTTTCTTCTTAGTGGTAGTCCTTGGCTTCATTGCAGCATTGGAAAAATGATCAACTAGGACTTTTGCAACTTGCACCCATCTCCTACTCTCTTCACTATTAACCATGGCATAAGCTTGGGATAAGGTGACTTCATCCTTTGCTAGAATATTTTGTTTGACGATATCATAATTGGGATTGAGTCCAGTAAGAAACTTAAAAACCCGATTCCTCTCCACTAACTTCCTATGAGTCTTAGCATCCTTAGTACACCCCCACACACAACAGTCTTCATTAGCTCAATCTCCTGCTAAAGAGATTTTAGCATAGAGAAGTAAACAGCTAAAGGCTTCTCCCCTATCTTAGATTATTCAAATCATTTTTCAGCTTGTAAGCCCTCGCAATGTTCAACTTCTGGGAACAAGTCTCTATGACTCTATCCCACACCTCCGTTGTAGTATCCATCCATACTACAACTGTATAATTTTCCTATCCACCTTTTATAGGCAAGGTCATCCTCCTTAGGTTGTTTCATACTCCTAGTTAGACCTGGCAAAAAGTTGACCCAACCCGCGAACCCAACCCAACCCAACCCGAAAAAACAGGGTTAGGGTCTCATATTTAGCTACCCGAATGTGAAAATGACCTGACCCGGCCCAACCTAAAAAAAAAAAGAAAAAAGCTGGGTTGGTTG